TTCAAGAGAGGAAGAATAAGGCAACTTCTGCCTCTTTGTAATTTTTCAGTTCAGGAAAGGAGTTCTCTTTAGGAGACTTCCTCCTGTGTCATTTGTCAGAACTGAGTTATATATTGGCCTTTAAATCAATATGATTCCTTCCCTGAAGGCTTGGGAAGGTGTTAACCTCCTGAGATCAAGGAATCTGAACCCCCATCTGAATAAATCAGTGTTGCATTAGTAGGAAAAGGTGGGGTGACAGATGTGGAGAATGGCTTTGTGGGCAATAGACAGTTGCTGCAGTTAGTAATTTCAGATTTCCCTCATCAGCCCTCTGCTCCCTTTACCTGCTTCCTGGGGAACCCAACCACAAACACAGATTCCCCTCCTACCCATACTTCAAAAACAGTTCCAAATCCTCTCTCCCCAGCCCAGAATCCACTACGCTCTCAGTCTTTTCCCTTAGATTGCAGTGCTCCATCAAGTGCATTCAGAGCCCTTCATCAGAAACCCACTTTCCCTTCTGTAATGGCTTCTCCCAAACTTGTCCCAGTATTAGGTTCAGGTATGTGTCTTCTGATGCCAAGACCATAGTCACTACTCTGCTTCTTTTCCTACACAGCAAATTTCACCTCTCTAAAAATGAAATTTCCTAATTATAAAAATTATAAATGCTAATTTTGAAACATTTGTGGGTTTTCATGTCAATTGTCTTTCAGTGTCAGAACATTTTTTGTTTTAAATGTTATTATATGAAACTCAACTCGCCGTGCCCTGCAGTCCTCTTCCTTCACAGGGTGGGTGGGAGTGGGGAGCTGAGCCCCTGTGGGAATCTTGAGAATACTGAAAAGCAGAGTTCATCTTGGTATCTTAACCTGGGAGGCCCAAAGCAGATCCCAAGACAAAAGCTTACATGTCACTAGTTTAAAAGGAAGTGCCAGGGAAGCAAGAGTGAGGGGAATGGAGCAGGACAGAAGAGGAAGGATAGAAAATAAACAAGCGCTTTCAGGAGCCCGCCACACATTGTGATCCAGCTCAATTGATTGCCTGATCTTGCTAGACCCTCCTCTGAGTGTCCATTTGAGCTGCTGCCTCCTAGAGAAGGTGCGAACAATTTATCTGCTGGCACCCAGAACCCACTGGTGAACACTCCACCCTATGTACCTTAACTCCCCTGTTCATACACCTAAGGGTGCTCACTGGGTCTTGTGGCATCTCACAGCTCAGAGGCTACAGGTGAGCCCCAGGGCAGGAGGTGAGAGGTGTACAGTTTGAATAGGAGTTGAGGTGTGACAGCCCCTGAGGTGGCCAGCCAAAGAAGATGGCCACAAGGATCTGAGGTTGTGCACAAGAAAGGTTTGATACAGTAGGTGAACACTTCCATTTTACCAAAGGGAAAACTATAACCCGGAAGTGGAAAAGGCCTTGCCCAGTGTTCTACAGCTGGTCAGTGGCAGAATGATGCATATCAGACTCTCAAGCCAGTGTTCTTCTATCATGCTCTGCATCACTGCATGGTTTTTTTGGCTGCTCTTCCTCCTGGTGACTCGAGAAAGCCTAATCAAAGCCCTGACCCTTCTCGATTGAATTTGCGAAGTGGCTCTCATGCCAACTTCATCCATCACAGGCTGTGTGCACATTTAATTGGAACATTACTTTTTTGTCAGATGGTCTCCTTTATAGTTAGAGGAAAGCAACCCTGTAAAAGCTAAGTGGAAGTCTATTAGTTTCAGCCACATCTGCCAACATTAGGCAGGGGTTTTCCTATCTTTTCCAGAATTGAATCACAGCTGTCCTTATTTAATAAAATACTGAGAATAACTGTAAACTGAGACTTTTGTACCAAAACTTAGAAGAGTGCTTTATAGCCTCATATGTTTTTTAATATTGCAAAGTGCCGCATATCCCTTTCTGTAATCAACAGGATCTAAGTCAGGCACAACTCTAATAACTATAAATAAATTTTCTTCTACAAGGCAAAACCAAATGGGGGACAGGTATTAATAAATTATAAATCCACTGTGGTTTTTCTAATACCATCACGTAATTCAATTCTCAGTGGACACTGGTTTTCCTACAATTTAATTAAATTCTGACACTATTTAGAGATAGCATCAGATCCCACAGGTTCAGAGGTCAACCCCACAAAACTTCACCACCCCACACTTCAGATTTCCATGACCCCATCCTTGGGTTCCATTAATTTGCTAGAGTTGCTCAAGAACTCAGAGAAACATTTATTCGTGTTCATCAGTTTATTATAAAAGATATTATAAAGGATGCAGATGAACAGCCAGATGAAGAGATACAGGGCGAGGTCCCCAAGGGTTCCAAGTGCAGGAGCTTCTGTCATCACAGAACTGGAGTTTGCCCCCACCCCCAGCTTGTGGATGCATTGACCAACCTGGTAGCTCATTCAGTCTTGCTGTTCGAGAGTATTTATAGAGCTTAATCTGGAGCCCCCTTCTCCTTCTCCCCTTCCCAGAGGTTGGTGGGTGGAGCTGAAAGTTCTAGCCCCCAATTTCTTCCATTTTCTGGTGACCAACTTAATCCTGAGGCTATCTAGGGGCCCCAACTTAAGTCATCTCATTAAAATAAACTCAAAAGGGGCTCCTCATGAAGGACAAAAGATAGTCCTATCACTCAGGAAATTCCAAGGGTCTGAGGAACTCTGTGCCAGGAACCCCAGACAAAGAACAAATACATTTCTTATTATGTCACAATAAGTCCAATTTGTAGTTCTACAGAGAAAGACGATCATTTGTCACCTCATTTTAGACCCTAGCCCTTCCTGAGAACGGTTACTCCGTTGTCTTAGCCCATTCCAGCTGCTCTAACAGAACACCAGAGACTGGGTGGCTTATAAACAACAAAACTTATTTCTCCAGTCCTGGAGGCTGGGAATCAGGGCACTGGCAGATATGGTGTATAGCGAGGCCCCCCTTGCTGGTTCTTGGATGGCCGTCTTCTCACTGCATCCTCATGGAGGAAGGGGTGAGGGACCTCTGTGGGGTCTCTTATCAGGGCACTCATCCCATTCCTGAGGGCTCCACCCTCACGACCTAATCACCTCCTCAAAGCCCCACACATTAGGGATTAGGTTTCAACACATGAATTTGGGGGTAGACACAGTCTATAGCAACAATATTTTTTAAAATTACACCTAAATCCGCTAAGCAAGGCAAGCAGGCTGGCACTTTACTGCTCCGTGCAGCAGCTCCTTGACCCCGTGTCGTCCAGGACCACTGCAGACATTGGCACCCCCTGGCCTAGCCTCCTAGGTACAGCTTGTGGTATCTAGTTACAGGCAATGGGGAAATGCTGGTACATTTTTTCCTCCAGAAAAAATGACCTGCTGACCTCCCAACCCATGAGTTCTGTATGGTTGCTACAGACATATTTATAGTTACATATTTTCTGACTTATCCCTGCCCAGGCCAGCTATTTCTTTAGGACTCTTTCTTTGGGGTAAAAATGAGGAATAACCTGTTTCTGCTAGCAGCATCCACAGGAGAACACCACCATGTGGTGTGAATGTGATGGAGGGTGCCCAGATAAATATCCCAGTTCCTATTCATTCCCCTGGTATTGTGCAGTAATGGACTCTGATATTAAAATGCATATTTCACACCCTTGTCTCACAATTTAGCAGAAGGCTATTCACTATGCATGAGCCATTCACTCACACTCATCACACAGAGAAAATTACATTTTCCCAGTTGCCAAATGGAAGAGATAAATTATCTCACGTGGACAAGCACATTGCTCCCAAGAGCAGTTTCACAGACCCAAGACACTGATCTAAAGCACCTGGGAGGGAGACTTGGAGAGCTTTCCTGGTATAGACCTGGTCAGTCTCTTCATTTGGACCCAGAGACCCTCTCCCTGCTAGTGGGCTTACTGTGGTGGGCCATGTGCCTTTCTGGCTTTTGTGGATAAAATGAGCCCCCTTGGGGCCTCTTATTCTTCCTTCCCAGAAAAGATGTTATAAAAATGAATAAATCAAAATAGAACATTTCATATTTATGCATATCCACTGAATTGGTAATACATATTTGTAATGAAAATTAAAGAAGCAAAATGTTAAAATGTTCTCTTTGGGGAAGATACATTGGGACTAGTTACCAAAGATGTTCTCACATTTGCTTGTTACACACCCTCTCCTCATCCCTATCCATTCTTTCAGGTTAATGAAAGTCCAGAAACTACTGTCTCTAACTTAGCATGTAATCCTTATCCTGTTACATATGTATGATCAACAGCAATTGCCTCTACATAAGAATTACAGCTAACATTACTACTCTTCATATGACTGAACTGTTCTACCTACTTGATGAATTTTCCAATATGATACTACAATTAAAAATTTTTATGTTCTTGCCCACGTTACAATGAGCAGTTATATGACTCACGCATTAATTCTTTCAATAGTTATTGAGCGTCAATTAGGCACCTGGAATTGTACCAGGCCCTGGACCAGGCAGAGTTAGGGGCTGAAGCAGAGGTAATCATAGCAGGTGGAAACCTATGAAGGGTCAAAGCGAGATTCTTTCTCTGAATGCTTTGGGAGTTGGGACAAGGGAGGGCTCCCAGGCAGCTAAAGCCGCTAGTGATCTCATTATACGATATTTAGGTTATCATATTTTTCTCTGCCTTTTTAAAACAAAGCGGCTGGCTCCTCAACTATACCACTAGGATGCACATATGAAGTGACGCACCTATTACTTGTGGATGCTTTTCCGGAGGGCACCCCCTAAACACCGATTATTACCAGTGTTATGGGTCTGGTGGTTTCTGCTTTCCTTTTCTCTGGCTTCCAGAGTGTTGGTTCCTTCTGTTAATTTTATCCCGGCCGCGCAAATGAGCCCAGACGCACAGCCCAGGCAGCGGCTCTGGACCGGTGCACGTGCGCTCTGAGCCCCCGCGACCCTGGGCCGGGTCCCTCCTCCGGCCCGCCCCGGTCTCCCCGGCCTTGCGCCGGCCAGCGACGGCCGGGCACCAAGCCCGCCGCCCGGTCGCCCACGCCACTGGCCGCCACAGCAGCCGTGGGGTGACCAGCGGGGAGGCCGGCTTCCCGCCGGGGCTCACGGGGTCTCCGCTTCCCGCCGCCCCCTCGCTCCCGGGCAAAGCCCGAGGGGTACCCTCCCCCGGGGAGGGAGAGGGCGGCTTCTAAGGTGACAGAGAACTCTGGAGAGCCTGCGTCCAGGCGGGAAGGCCAAGCTACCCCGGACGGGGGCTCGACTCAGAAGGCGCGGTCGCCCGGCCCCCCAGGTGAGGCTGCCTCCGAGGACGCTGGGTCGGAGAAGGCCCGTCTACACCGCGCGCCCGGAGGTGCGGGAGGGGAAGCGGGGCGCGCGGGGGAGGCGGCCGCCCCCCGCCGCGCGGCTCCCCCGCGCCGCCGCCGCCGCCGCCGCAGCAGGTGGGGGCCCGGCGGGCCGGAGGCGGGGCCGGGCGCGGGGCGGAGCCGCGGGGCGGCCCGGGCAGGGGCCGGGGCCGGGGCGGGAGCCGGGCTGTCCGGGCGCCCGCGGGAGCTTGCCGCGCGCGGGGCTGGGACCGGCCTGGCCGAGCGCGCCGTCGCCGCGGCCGCAGACAAAGGGCGGCTCGCGCCCGGCCGCCGCGCTCGGGGCTCCGCCTGGTAAGTGCTCCCCCTCCGCTTGCTTGCTTCCCCGCCGCCTGCTCCTCTCAGAGTTCCGCGGGCTCCGGAGACCCAGGAGGGAGGAAGAAACGATACTTCCCCGCTCTCCCTGCAACCCTCCCTCACCAGGAAAACAACAACAAAGCCCAAAATAAGAATCCAGGAAAATCCAAACTAGCGAGTTTCCGGGCGGCGGTGTGTCTCCCGCGGGACCGACGCGGCCGCCCTCGAGGACGCCTTCCTGGGCGGAACGAGCGCTCCGATGTCCGCGGGTCTGCGGTTTGCATGGGAAGGTGGCCGCTGGACGGGGATGTAAGCGCGGAGAATACAGGGACGGGGCGCCGCGGGGGTCCCCATCCCCGGGGACAGTTCGGCGCGTTGTAGGGCGCCGAGGTGCGGCTCGTACGGCGAGTTCAGATTCGGATTTCAGTTGTGGGGTCTGCCTTAGCCTCCCGGCCTCCTCCCCTCCAGCCTCCCTCCCGTCCCGTTCAGGGTTAATATAGCGCCCCCCACGTGCCCACCGACCGAGGCGGCCGGGGGCAGGGCGGGAGGCAGCCGGGCCTCCCTCCCGGCTCGGCGACCCCGAGCCCGCATCTGCTGGGGAGGCGGACGGCTGCCGGCGGAGAGTCAGGTTTACATCACAGCTCGGTCCGGGGCCGGCTCCCCAGCCTCCTCCCGGGCTGCTCTGCATCTGAAAAGCTATCAGAAGCCCTGCTGGCTTTTGCTTTTGTTCTGCCCGCAACTCTCCAGAATCCGAGGAGCAGCCGGGGTGGGCGGATAACCCGTCTGGGGGCCGTGAAGGGAGCTCCAGGTGCCTTGTAGTGACAATTGGAGGCGGCGGCCGTTTCCCTCCCCTGGGTGGGGAATGGATCCCGATCACTAATCAACGCCGGGGAGCTGGTAGTGGGAACGCGGTGTCCCCGCGGTCGCTCACTGTCACGCGCCTCTCCTGCTCTCTCGAAAGCGTTCCTGGAGACGCGCATTTCCATTCATGGATCTGTGCTTGGATTTGATTAATGTCACCTCTGCCAGGCCTCTCCAAGGAGCGTCTGCTACTATTCGTTTTAATAGTCATTTACAGGGAGCTTATTGTGTGCAAGGCAGCAGTCCTACCTCATTTTAATTTTAAAAATATTTATCGAGAACCTACTATGTGCAAAGCAGATACATTTCAAACTTTTCACTTTAGCAGATATTTATTTAGTACTTAACTGTGTTCAAGGTAGCAGTGCTGTGATCTTGTTTTAACAGATATCTACTGAGCACCTCCTGAGTGTAAGGTTTTTGTTTCTTTGCTGACGGGTTGCCCAGAGTACTTTTGGAGGGCATTTGGAGACAAGGGAGAGGGAATATGTCTTTGGACCCTACAGTATACAATTCCTTTAGTAACCAGCATTTTAACCTTTCTTGACTACTTGTTGTGTGGTGTAGGAAAAACTAGTCTTCATACACTATAGCTTCAAAGTTTTTCAGAGAGGAGCAGGGTAAATAGGCCTACTCTGGGACCTCTTTGCAATTCAGTTTCCTTACACCGAAAAAAAAGACAGTTCCTTTGTGCAAAGTGCTGTGCTAGGTATGGCAGGGTATCAAAGGTTAATAAGGCAAAGCCCCCATACTTAAAGGGGTGGAGAATCTGGTGGGGCCAGAAAGACACACAAGGAGACAATCAATCGAACCGGGGGGAGGGGGAGTGTGAAGATAGGGCCAGCATGGAGCTTCTAGCCCCCAGCTCCAAGCTAGTGACAGCTGCTGGGATGACAGTATCTATAAAATCCCATCATCGCAGTGACTGGAGACCTAGAGGCAGAATCAGATGGTATGAGAGTCCTTCCCACTAAGAGATTTGATGACTCTATTGCTCTGATAATCTTGGGATCCTGAGACATACTAGGATATCCAGCTTGGTAAGAAAACTGTAAGTCTTCAGTCTATTAGTAAATATTTGAGCACTTGTAATGTTATATATAGTCTAAGACATTGTTTTCATCCTAAAAAACTTAACAGAGTTCTTGAAAATAAAACCATAAAATGGCTGCTTGGACAGTACACATGAAAAGTGAAAAGCCAGGAGCAAATCCTTCCTAGAATTTAATGTAAAAAAAAAAATTCTGTTTTTGTGGAATTGTGGCTTTCCATTTATCAGACAGTGAGAACTTTCTTTATGTCTCGTATGTTTATCTCTTTACCGTAGCATCCAGGAATTCCTGGTTACTGCTCTATCCCAGCTTCTTGGTACGGTGATCATTTTCTTCCCAAATTATTTATAATCTTCATTTTAATTTAAAAAATAAACTATATTCTGTTATTTTTTGTTATGAACTGAAAGAACCACTCACTTCTTTTCTGGAAGTAGGCCCATTATGAAGAGTACGTAGGAAATAGGGTAAGTGGTAGATGAATGACCTGGAAGCCCTAGCACTTACAAGAAGGCATTGGGGGGAAGCAACTGCGGCCAAAATCAGGAATGTACAGAGAAAACATAAACTGGTCTTGCAAGATGGAATAGTATTCAGATAGGCAAAGAAGATAAAGACTTCCCTCCCAAATGGAGGGAAATGTTGTAAGCGAGGGTATGAAGGCAAACAAACCAGGAATTTGATAGCTCTTCATCTTGAATAGTTCCCATTCATTCAACAAAATGCTGCCTGAGCATTTTACTATGTGCCCGTGACTTTGCTAGTGTCAGGTGGGGCTTCACCCAGCACAGTTTGGGGTTCACTGGGATCCCACAGCTGGCAAGTACTCTTGTCTCCTGTTCCAGCTGCAGGAATAGCACTGCACCCCTACCATTCTTTCCAGCATTCCTGAAGTTTTTTCACCTGGGCTGAACTTGATTGTAATCTTCTTCTAGGCCAAGAATGTGACTTCTTTTTTATTCTCTTCATCCTTCCTTCCTGCAGGCTCAGGTGGACTCCGTAGAGTAGGGGACATTTATTTCAGAACCCTGTATGCCTATTTCTTCACCCTTTCTCTACCTCACCTGGGCCTGTCCTCTCTTCTTGCCACTACTTTCAGCTGCTCAGAGCTTTTCACTGTATGAAAATTCAGGAGAAAACAATCTGTCATTAGTCACTTTCTCTTGAGTATGAATGTAGGTCACTGTTCTCTCTTGTATGTGTGGTGGGGGAGTGTCTTTGCACTTTAAGCCTTATTATGGAATGAAAGGCTTTGTCCACCATGAGAGGATTTCAAGTAGAGACAAGTGGGTGTTGGAGATTTTGGGGGAGGCAAAGTGCCTTTCCTGGTGCTCTGAAGTGACACTACCACTTCTCACGTAGCCACTCTTGGGAAGGGTCCTTGCAGTCCCATGGTCCATAAAAGTCTGGAGCCTTCTCTGCTTTTTACCAAGGTGTGGTAATTGAAGTCAGATGGCAGCTCTGCATGAGCTGCTTGTCAGCCTGGCCTTTACTCACTCTACCCTTTAAAGGTTAATCATTTTCCGAACAGAATCCTTGCTTATTTACCTGCCCATTATTTTAAGTCAGGGATTCGAAACTGGGCATTATTGATGTTGTGGGCTGGATAAGTCTTTGTCAGCATTAGATCAGTAGCACCCCACACTTCCTCCCCAAATTGTGACAACCAAAAATGTCTCCAGTTTTGCCAGATGTTCCTGGGAGCAAAATCACCCCTGATTGACGGCCACTCTTCTAAGGGATATTGGCTAATATGTTTCATGCTGTTAAACTTCCCACTTTTCTGGGAGAGGCTGTATTTAATATAACTTGATTCTTTTCAATGATGGCAACTTAGTAAATGTGTAATTAAATTTGTGAAACTTTTCCATAGGAATAATTTCATACATCAGAATAAACTTCCTTTCTCAGCCTACATATTCTAATCTGGTCATCATATTAAGTTAATCTTTTGAGGCAAAAAAAAACCCCTCAGTTCTTCCCTTAGCATGTGGCTGATTTGTATGTGGGCAGAAGAACCACTACTGACAGCCACCATTGCCAACAGGGTCATCCCAGCCCACTGCTTGGGCAGTGGTGGGTGGGCAGCAGTGGAGAGGAAAGTGGCAGGGGAGGAGCCGGTTCTGGTGGGATAGGACACTTGTGTGATTTAAGGGGTCCTCTTTATGAGAAAGAAGGACCAGGTGAGCACATTGCTAGGGCCCCTCTCCAGTCTTGGGAGGGTTCACAGCAAGAGAGGGGCTCTGAGGTTTCAGGTTCATTGGCATAAAGTAAAACTGCTTCTGGGAAAGGTTTTGAGGAATGACAGGACAACTGAGGCTGTAGGAATAGGAAAATTATGACTTTCTTCCTCCTGTGACTGGCAAGGGCTAAGAGAAGCTTCTTGAACACTTGACTTAAATACAGAACATGTATCCAACTAGAACTGTGAAAAACAGGGTAGCCTGCACTTCTCCTAATATCTTGCCTCCCGAGTAGAACTTCCATAGCTCTGGCAGCTCCAGGGAGGTGTCAGCATCAGCAACATCTTTATAGGATGGAAAAGGGAGCAAGGTTAGTTCAAGCTTAGTAGGAGGGATGCCTGAATTTCACTAGTGGGTAGGAGTAACTTAATGTATGTCATAACCGAGGTCAGCCCAGAGCCAAACTTATTGCTTCAGAAAGCAAATGAAACTCTTTTTTCAGGTCACTGTAATAGCATTTGAAAAGTTTACAGTAAG